GTGGCATTCAAACTTCACTTGAAATTTCAATGTCACGTCAACAACCTTCATTTGATTATAAACGGCAACTAATAACAAGTGTAAGATTGATTCAAAATCAAATAGTTTAGATGTAAAATTGATATTATTAAAGAATAGAGGTAGAATTAATTTTTAAATGATAGTTTAGGGAACAAAATGATATTTCCTCACAATATCGTGACTTCATAATTTGTTGTGTAGGTGCACGTATAATTTGAAAAACTTCATGAAATTCTTCTCCTTACAACATGTAAGAGTTTTAGGGATCAAACATTTTTATCCCTGAAGTAAAAAATTTGTTGCAAAAAACATTTTAGTACCAATTCTTGTCGTTGCAAGGATAATCGCTAAAATGTCATCTTAAAAAGTAAAAAATAAGGATTTTACCCACAAAATTTTAACAAAAAATTCTCTAATAAAAGCAGTTTGGGGACAAAATAATTGTCCCAAAAGGATTTATTTATTTTTAAACAAAACTTTTGGTCCCGAGAGATAATAATTCATCACTAATGTTCAAATTTTGTCACTAAAAATAAATTGAAAACAAGTTGACATGTTGATTTGTAGGATGGAATTTCATACAAAGGAAATTCAAAGCTTGAGATGCTGTTTTCCATTTCTTCCATGCTTCTAGGCAAATGATCTTTTCCTGTGGGTTATACACTAGTCTTAACAAATAAAATATAGAATAGAGATCATGTCCCATATACATCGTTTAGTCACTACACTGAATATATTCTAGAAAGACATCTAATACAAGATGCATCTAGATAGAACTGTACCGTTTAGCAGTCATGATCAAATTTGCAATGCCTTGGCCAATAAGACCACACCCGAATCCAACTGAGCCATACAATATGCCCTGAATCCCAAATGAATAAATCAATCACAGTTAATGGTAAAAACTAGATGGCAGAAAAAACTACTAAACCCAACTTCAGGCACACTGTAACCATAACTAAAACCCAATCTAGAAAACACTTGAATTAGATAAATCAACAATGAAAACAAGAGATGAAGCAAACATACATTTGTTTCTATTTTTTTTTTCTTCTCCCCTATTGCGATATTAAATGACGAAGCAAGAATATTTAACCAGAAAAAGGTCTGAAGCAAGTAAGTGGGATTTTCAAGATAGAGTGGCAGGAAAGAAAGTTTTCTTTTTGAGATCTGTAGTCCAAAAGGCCACAAGGTAGCATACCACTCACTCAATAAGCCCAGTAACTTATGGTACCTTGTAAAAATAGGTAGCAATCCGCTGTTTCATTGAGAATTTACATCCTGGCCTTTCAGCTTCAAAAACACTGCATATGCAAGAAAGGCCTTTAATTAGAAGCATATGGCAATCAAAGCTTCATTTAGAAGCAAGGCCCTTTAATTCCAAGCTGTAAGTTTAAAAATTTAAATCAAGCAAATCCTTAAACCAAACTAAGTCTTGTGGTCCAATTATGTCCCTACACTTGAAACCTTTAGTTTCGGATTGTACAATATAAATATGGTCCATTTTTCTTACATCTGTAGACTCTGAGAAATGTAATGCCTTTCCTCCACTTTCACTTTTTTGCAAGATGCAGGCATGAAATGACAAACGGCACTATATAACACATAAAACCTTTAGAAAATAAAGACAGAGGTACTTGAATAGATTTGGAGGTAATGCAAATATAATTGGGTAGCCCCTCATCCATAAGTTACCAAGCATCAGTTTTAAATCATCTCCCATCTAATGATATTTTTACATTCTCTCAAACTCCACTGTGCCTCTTTAGGCTAAGTAGGCACGACAAAAATCGTTGACCTAGGTCATTGAATTCCCAAATTCTAGGCCTTAAATCATTAAACCAGCTCAAGCCAAGTTCCCAAATTAAGTATTAGAAGTGCCAAAAAGGGAGCAAAATTTAATTATAAATGGAGAGTGCAATGATAATGACAAATGTGCAAGTACATCCAATGAGAAAAAAGAGTTTCAAAGTTCTATTATGCATCAATAACCTGCTTGGAAGAGCTCCACAAGCACGATTGAATCGTCCAAAGAAACCACTAGATGTAGATGGCTTCCCAATACGAGTGTACGGTGCTAACATGGAAACCAAAGCAATGTCAACAACCATGCCAACCAAAAGATCTGCAGTGTACAATTCAAATTCTGCCCAAAAATCCTTTCCTCTTTTTTGAAATTCAGCAAAGGTTGTACAACCAGAATCAATGGCTACCTGTGTCTCATCAAATTCATAACATATACTATTAGATGAACACCACCACAATACATTCTAAGGACTCAATGTATAAACATTTACAACATTTAAACATAACTTTCAATATCAATATTTGATCACCTGTTGGTCATCTCAAGTTAATATGGTTGTTACTTCAAAAAATGAAAAGGAAATAAATTGACAAGGTTATAATTATTGGCTTACGCTCCACGCACCATACGAACATTCAACAATACTGGTCAATTGACACACAATATTACATTGCGTGCAAGTACAACCGTTAAGTGACATACTAATGCAACAAAGATAGCAACCAACAAACCTCTGTTCCAACTTTAAAAAGAAAATTCGGATCAGCAAGCATTCGGTTCCGAAGCATTCCACAATACCTCACCAAAAAGCTTAATGGCCAACCTGATCCCTGAAAGGTCAAATACCAAAAGAGTAATGATATACAACCAGAAATTCATATAGAATGAGAAAGCTCACTCTAGACCTTTTATTTTAAAATAAAACATCCATGAAGATGAGTTTTTTTACAAAAATAGCACTTCTAGAGTATTTTTGTATAGTTTTTATGTATGAACAGAGTTTTCCATGCCAAGTAATGATATACAATCAGATAATTCATATAGAAGGATGTGGATCACTTTAAACCTTTCATTTTAAAATAAAACACCCAAGACAAGTTTATTTACAAAAATCGCGCTGTAAAGTTTATTTTTTGGTATAATTTTTATGTGTCAATAGAGATTTCATACAAACAAAAAAATTCATACAAAATTTATATGCCAAAAAGGGCATATCATTCATTATCTACCATGAAATAACATACAGAGAAATCACAAATTTTTTGCTTTAAAAAATGCTTCGTAATTCGTAACTCGAATTTGTGTAGTCTGAATGACTCGAATGTATCAAAACGACGTCGTTTTACTCCAAAATGATATCGTTTTGAGACATTCGAGCTATTCGGGCTACAAATCATATCAAAAATAAATTCTCATTCACCTGCAAATCCAAGTATCGAGTAAGAACCAGTCTGCGAAGTCCCATAGTCTTTGCAGCCTCTAACATATCAGAAGGAAGACTAGCCCCTCGCAATTCAATCTCTCTCATCGCTTCCTCATACTTCATTACCTGTCCAAACTCTTCCTCATCCTCATCATTCTCTTCACCATCACCGCCGCCTCCGCCAGACGGAAACCTCCCATCGCCGCCAAAGCTGCCGCCGCCGCCTGTACTTCCATTGTCAGTTTTCGGTGTAGAGTCCGGCAACACCGTGATTGTCTTCGCTGCAGAATCTGAACTAATGCATTTGAATCTGAAAACATCTTTGTCCCTCCTATTGGAGTGTTGCAGAGCCACGATTTTTATTGAATTAACTTCGACCATAAAATTCTAACTCCATTGCTTTGTTGAATGAAATCCAATCAAAGAACCATGAGCATTCGAGAATCCCAAATTTGATGATTGAATTGCTACCATATCCATAAATTCTATATCCAAGTACTTCAAGTATGATCAAAGAAAGGAACTTTCAAACGTAACAGTTTAAGAACACAACTCAAAACGAATATTCAAGGGATCAAAACCGTAGCGAAACCCTAATGGATGGTTTTGTGCGTCTCAGAGTAGGGGTGAGCAGCGGATATACCGATCCGCCAAAGCCGTCCAAACGGAACCGATCCGCCGCATTTTGGACGGATGCGTGATGACGAGTGGATAGTTACGGATTGATTTTCTCCAATCCGCCAATTTGGCGGACGGATGGCGGGTTTGAGATTTTGTGGCCGCAACCGAACCACCAAACTGCCAAATCGCGAGCACCCCTAGTAATTTATAAGACTTTGTATTTTCAATTTGTTTAAATATTATGTTTGTGTTTTCAATTGAAAAAGAGTTTAAATATTCTGTTGAAAAAAAGTTTTCAACTTGAATATATTTTTTGAATTGAGAAAAATAAACGTATTATTCATCTATATTTTTAGTTTTTAAATCTGACTCTAAAAATAATAAATAGAAAATATGATATATGCTGGTTGGTTTTTATTTTCAAAAACATATGTAGATACTGCTCTGTTCTTGGTTTTGGTGGTTTGAATTATTATTATATTTTAAGAATCACAGATTGTAATACTTTATGTGGATGATGCATGTAGTGATCGTGATATTCTAAAGTTTCAAACTTTCTTTCTTTGAATAAGGCATACAGTGATTGTAATACTTTTTTAAGTCATTGACTGTAATTTCTGACTCCATTGCTTTGTTGAATGAAATCCAATCAAAGAACCATGAGCATTCGAGAATCCCAAATTTGATGATTGAATTGCTACCATATCCATAAATTCTATATCCAAGTACTTCAAGTATGATCAAAGAAAGGAACTTTCAAACGTAACGGTTTAAGAACACAACTCAAAACGAATATTCAAGGGATCAAAACCGTAGCGAAACCCTAATGGATGGTTTTGTGTGTCTCAGAGAGAGTGAGAGAGAGAGAGAGAGAGCGCGAGGGCCAACTCGGACTTCGGAGCGGGTCGTAATTCCATGCCAGGCGGGTCGGGCTGCAGCTCATGGATCTTGGACGCTGTAAGAACCCATTTGATAAAAAACCCTTTGATGCTGGGCCTCAATTCTTTTATCAAATTCATAGCAAATGAAAAGAGAACCAAACCTTTCATCAAAGTAAGAGATTTTTTTGTGTATCTTTTCGTCAAATTTTGTAGATAGCTGATGTTTTATTAAATTTAAATTTGATAAGAAAAATGCCTCCAAATTGAGCTCCAACCTTTTCATCAAATTGAGGAAGTCTTTATCCTTTTATCAAATTTTGCAGGTACTGTTGGTGGACAATCGACCGAACACCTGCTTGTCAATCGGATTTAAGAATGAATTAAGAATTTTGTAAAAAGATTTGATGAAAACTTACTTTAGGCCAGACGACTAGCCGGATGATTTGCCAGATTTGATGAAACCATTGAAGTGTATCATATCAAATCAAACATTTTATCAAATTTTTATTCAAATTTGATGAAACGTTGGAGATGCTCTAAGAATCCTTCATAAATTTTTACATCTAGTTTGTTTTTAAATTTGAGTAAAATGTTTGATTCAAGAGGAAATTTTATTTTGCCCCAAAAATTATTATTTAAAAATTATTTGCATCACATTTTATTTTTCTGTCGATTGTGGCCTATCAATTATGGCCAAGTTCGATTATGGTTTGTGATTGAAATCATAAACTATTTTCAAAGAATAACCTTGACCACATTTATTTTTATTGTTATTATTTCTGTTGACATGCATGCTAACATGGCATAACAGATATGTTAAGAACGTGACAAGATCACATGTTAAATGGCGGGTTAGAAAGTTACCAATTGCAATAATTTGAAGTTAGTTGTTGAGATCAAAGAGTCAAGATCAAATCAAATACCAAATTTGCAAAATGGTTACTATCAAACATGGGATATAGATAATGTTAAGGAAATCATGGGTTGTTGAGGAAATCGTGGGCTTAAGTTATCTCTTTCTCTCATGTGGCTGAGTCTATAAATAGGCCAAGAGAGATACAAAGATGAAGGAATCATCTCAACCACCATTCACAAAACGTGATTTTTATTTAGGAGTAGTTTAGCTTAGCATTTGTTAGGAGTAGATTAATAATAGCTTTTCCATCCCTCACTTCTCTTCTTTCTGTTGATTGCTGTATTTTTTCATTTTTTTGTTCTTGTTTGATCTATTGTAATTGATAGCAAGTGACAATTTAATTGAATAAATATATATTATTTTATGTTCAAATCCTTCTTTACTTAATTAGCTCTAGGGAAGTCCTTAATCTGTTTAAGGCATAGAATTCAACTACAAAACCTGATCTTTTTGTGTTTATTAAAACTTGTTTAAGCCTGTAGATCAATCATTGTCAATCAGGCTTAAACTAAATTTTTTTTCCTAACATAAATTGGCACGCCCGGTAGGACCATTCTAACTTGGAATGATGATGGTGAAGAAGCAAACTTATCCTTATGGAATCATGCCTTTAACAGGTATGCTTACATCTTATGCACCCATGGATACAAACCGCCAATGGAGTGGCAGTGTTCCTATGGAGATAGATTATCAGTGGAATGCCTCATATTCTGAAAATTGTCAGTGTTATGGTGGTGGTTTTACCACTTTATTGTCAACATAATGGCATGCCAAATGATGTGAAAAGAATAATTTGCCATTGTGAGTGTGGGGATATATTTTCTGAGTACCAACACGTGGCAAGGTGACGCCGACGTGTCAGCCGAGGTGCCACGTGTCTTGGTCGTTGTGCCGAGGTCATCTCGGCTAGGCCGAGGTTGCCTCCGAAGATATCGGAATCTGAGATAAGCGGATAAGGGACAAGAGTCCTAGAATGAAGAGGGAACTCAACTTGGATATGGACAAGAGTCCTAGATTGGGAGAAGACTTCCGTTTGGGTAAAGATAAGACTCTTAGAGAGTTTATCCTAATCCCACTGGGAGTCCCAGATTAGCAGTAATCCTAAGTCCATTAGGGCCAGGCTCCTATTGGGACCAGGATTGTATTGGCTATAAAAAAGAGGCACCCCCATGGGTCTAAGGTATGCTTTTGATACTCAAGCTTGTGAGTTTAGTACTTGATTTATCTTTGAGAGATATATTGACTTGATCGTCGGAGTGCCCCCGGGTGGTCGAAACCACCGCGGGATTCTTATATTTCTGTTGCAGGTCAGTCAGGTGCCATCTATTCTGCCAGTGCTCTCCAGCTGGTTACTAAGCGGGCAGTGTGGTCGAAAAATCACCCACACAATTTGGCGCCGTCTATGGGAATCGAACGAAGAATAGATGGCCAATGACGGACAGAAGGATCAGATTGGAGACAACGCTCCTGCTGGGAATGGGAGATCTATCAAACTCGATGTTGAAAGGGATAATAGCAACACAGAAACTCGTGACCAAAGTCACGGAGTGAAAAACGCTAGCCAGGAAGGTGACGCACCAAAGACAACAGATCGAAGCGGATACTACAACAAAGATGACCTCCAGGTATGGAAGGATAGATACCTGCGGAGGAACGAAGACCCTTCCAAAGGGGATGCAAAGTCAGGGGGGCATGAGCGATCCCAAGGAGATAACATTCAAGTATAGAAGAACTCATCCTGAGTGAGTAGATCCCGGATTCCAGATCCTGGATCCTAGATCCGAAAAGACATGATATCAGCCTAGACAAGTAGGCCCGAGAAGACGAGAGCTCAACCTAAGTAAGCAGATCTCGGATTCCAGATCCCGGATCCTAGAAGACATGATCTCAGCCTATACAAGTAGGCCCGAGAAGACGAGAGCTCAACTTAAGTGAGCAGATCCCGGATTCCAAATCCCGGATCCTAGAAGACATGATCTCAGCCTAGATGAGTAGGTCCGAGAAAAGAAGAGCTCAACCTGAGTGAGCAGATCCAAGATTCTAAAAGATAAGATCTCGGCACCTAAGTCTGAGAAGAGAAGAGCACAATGAGCAGATCTCAGATCCTAGAAGATAAAAAGAAAACATACAAGGTCAGACTGCAGTTAGCCAGGTTGAAGACCTTTTATAAGGTCCACAAAAGAGCATGTGAAACCTATGCAGGGGGCAGAGATAAGAACAATCTGTTTACCACTTGTTGAAATTTGTAGCAATTTACAAGTTGGTTAAACTGATATGATGCTTAACGCTTGTTGAAATTTGTAGCAATTTACAAGTTGAAGTTAAGCCGAGATGGTTCCTTATCTTCACTTGTTGAAATTTGTAGCAATTTACAAGTTGAAGTTAAGTTGAGATGGTTCCTTATCTTCACTTGTTGAAATTTGTAGCAATTTACAAGTTGAAGTTAAGCGGAGATGGTTCCTTTTCTTTACTTGTTGAAATTTGTAGCAATTTACAAGTTGAAGTTAAGCGGAGATGGTTCCTTATCTTCACTTGTTGAAATTTGTAGCAATTTACAAGTTGAAGTTAAGCTGAGATGGTTCCTTATCTTCACTTGTTGAAATTTGTAGCAATTTACAAGTTGAAATTAAACCGAGATGATGCTTAACTGATGTTAAGCCGAGATGATGCTTAACCGAAGTTAAGCCAAAAATGATGTTTAACCGAAGTTAAGCCGAGATGATGCTTAACTGAAGTTAAGCCAAAGATGATGTTTAACCGAAGTTAAACTGAGGTAATGCTTAACCCAAGTAAAAGCCGAGATGATGTTGAAACTTAAGAAAAGTTTACAAGTTAGGTTAAGCCAAGAAGATGCTTAACACTTGTTGAAATTTGTAGCAATTTACAAGATAACGTTAAGCCGACATATGATCATCTGTTGAAATTTGCAGCAATTTACAGGTTGAGGAAAAAGCTAAGTATGTTGTTTAAACACTTGATGAAATTCGTAGCAATTTACAAATAGATTATTGTTTAACACTTGTTATGTTAATCCTTGTTGATCCCTGTTACAGTATATGTTAATCCTTGTTGAAATTTGTAGCAATTTACAAGTAGGCTAGACCGAGATCACCGTTTAAACACTTGTTGAAACTTGAGAAAAAGTTTGCAAAGTTAACATTGAGTAGTACATGTTTCACACTTGTTAGAATTTATGAAAAGTTTGCAGGTCAGTATCTTGCTGAAGTAAAAAGTTTTGTAGCTATTATACCCGAGGTATGTAACCCCGAGGAGATTGCACAGTTAAAGGTATATGTTGAAGGCGGACGCATGACTCAGGTCTACAGAACACTAAAAGCACTCTTAGAAGATCTGATGAGGCAAGGCAATCTGAAGGGACCTCGTCGATGAGACCAGAACAAAGGAAAGAACAGGAAAAATTGCCTCGGGCGCCAGCAGCTCCGCCTCCCCCAGCACAACAACCTCAGACAGGAAGACCTCGGGTAATTAATGTAATTCACTCGAGGGTCAATGAGAACGAAATTAGGGAGGAGACTCAGAAGGTGAAACACCTGCAACATGTGTACCAAGTTGGGGACAAGAGACATCGGGCAGATGAGTGCTTGGGACCAGTAGTGTCTTTTACCGAAGCCGACCTCGAAATGGTCCAGCACCCGCATAATGATGCTTTGGTAGTATCCCTCTAGGTTGGGGAGTGCCAAAGTGAAACACATCCTAATTGAACAAGGAAGCTCTTGTGACATCATGTATGTCCGATGTTATAAGGAGCTCGGCCTTCATCTAGACGATATGGAGTAACCCAATGGCCCAATGGTTGGGTTCAATGGAACGCCGACATGGTTACTAAGAGCAGTAAGCTTGGAGGTGCAGGTTGGCACCAGAAAGATCACAACAGAATTCACCATCATCGACACTCCATCTCCTTATAAATCTTGGGAAGATCATGGTTGCATGCAATGGGGGCAGTTCCCTCAACATTACATCAACTATTGCGGTTCCCAACAGAACATGGGATTGAAGAAGTCAGAGGGGATCAACTACAGGCGGAGAATTACTCCATGGCAGCAATGAAATCCACTTGCAGCATTCGAGAACCAGAGAAGGCAGAGATTGAAAACGAGGACATAGAGGTCCTAGATGATGTCGGCAAGGAGCCAGCCGAGAGGAGTGAAGAGGCACTGAAAATCCTCGTCCA